ACCTATACTTCATTTTTGTTTTGTGCTAAAAAACACATGTTGACATGCCTTCACCTAAAACTAAGATAGTGCACCTGTTTAAATAAACATTATATCTCCTAAACATCAGCTTCATAGCATTTTTGCATTATTTTTGCATGTTGATGGCAGCATTTAGTTAAATAGAATCCATATTCATGAGTTGCGTCGATTTGCAATGATGTTCGATGTGTCATTCTGCGTCCACTCCTTGCTCGGGTGTTTTTCTCACACATTCACGCTGTAAATACAAGTGCTCTCGCCAACTTATCACAGCTCCTTGACAGAACTCACTGAGCTAATGATGGCACTAGAAGAGCTAATTAAGGCCCTAGAAGGGAGGCCTGTCTGATCACCTATACTGTCACACCCGGAGCATTTTCCTGAGAGGCAACTCAACAGAAGCGTGGAGAACCTATAGCACTTATCTCTGCAGGGAGTGAACCTTTCATAAGCAGCAGGGCTAGTTGTGAAGGTGGAGAGATGTGAACGTGTAAAGATCTGAAGAGTTGCTCCACTTCTGGAGGTATATTAAAATGTGTGATCACCATACGATTCAATAGTTCACTCGTGTTGTTGTATGGCTTCTGCTTTTTTTTTATCCTCCAAAGCCTTGCATTGCTACTATCTAAATATTTCGTTTTTTTCTTTGCATTTGGCTAAATACAACTATTTAGACAATGGCAAAGCAAGGTTGTTTCACAGTCTTTCATCGATCTTTTTATTACTAATTTCTATATATTTGTTTTGTACAGTATTTGCTGTTCTATCGTTTTATTAGTGGGGTCGAGTTATCTCACGCAGGAATATTATCAAATAGGGTATTGTGACAGATCTGAGGATGAATAATGCAAGATTTCTTTTCAGCACTGTAGCCAGGCTGACAGAGAGCCACAGCTCGACTGAGCCTTCTATTCCCATACAGTAGCACTCAGTAGTAATGATTTTATGTGCTTCTTTAACGATAAAATTGTTACTCTTAGAAACAAAATTAATGACCTCTTGCCTTTGACCAGTATAGTATTATCAACAGCTCCCGGAAACGTAAGTTCTAATATTACGTTAGATAGTAAACTAGAATGCTTTTCAGCCATAAACCTTGAACAATTAAATTCAATGATTCTCTCTTCTAAACCATCAACATGTATCTTAGACCCGATTCCAACTAAGCTGTTAAAAGAAGTTTTTCCATTAATTAGCACTTCTTTATTAAATATTATGAATATGTCTTTATTATCAGGCTATGTTCCACAATCATTCAAAGTAGCAGTGATAAAACCGCTTCTTAAAAAGCACAACCTCGATCCAGAGGTTTTAGCCAACTATAGACCTATTTCTAATCTTCCGTTCCTCTCAAAGATTCTTGAGAAAGCAGTCGCAAAACAGCTGTGTGATTACTTAAAAAACTATGATTTATTTGAAGATTTTCAGTCTCTTTAGACACATCAATAGCACAGACAAAGGGCTGGTTAAAGTCACAAATGATATTCTAATAGCCTCAGACAAGGATTGTCTCTATTCTTGTTTTGCTCGATCTCAGTGCTGCATTTGATACTTATGACCATGATTCCTATTGCAAGACTTAGAGCACTTAGTTGGCATACAGGGAATGCTTTAGCTGGTTAGGTCCTATCTATCTGAACGCTCTCAGTTTGTCGTGTCAACGATGAATCTTCCACGCAACCAAAGTACATGATGTGCCACAGGGCTCAGTGCTCGGCCTATTTTTTTCACATGTATATATGCATTCCGTTAGGCAATATTATTTAAGGAATGATTCTGTAAACTTTCATTTGTTATGCGGATGATTTACTCAACTATATTTACCATCAAGCTTGATGAAATTAATCATCTAAATAACATTCGAAGACTGCCATCAAGGGATTTAAAAACTGTGGATGACCTTTAATTTTTTGATGTTAAACACGACCAAAACTGAAGTTATTGTACTTGGCCAGAAGAATTCTACGAACAAATTATCTTAGAGATATACTAACTAATGGATTGGCATTAATTTGGCCTCC